AGAGTAAAATTCCTCCATAGAGTTCCCCAGGCTGTAAAGATGGGAGCCTCATCTTTCTCCCTTGCAGTGGCTAGTGGATTCACACTGCTGATTCTTCAGTTAGCATCTCAATGACCAAACCATTGTGCTACCAGGCTTCTCCATGACTACTCTATGTACCCCGAAATTCAGTCCTGTGGTCCACACACCTTTATTGACTGTTAAGTGCTGCAGATCATAAAGTGAATATGACCCAATTCAGGACTTTAAACCATCTATTTGTTGTACGATGGCTGCTTGAGTGTTTTATGTAAGTTCTGCCAGTGATTCTCAAATGTGAGTAGAATCAGTCCTAGTGGACACATTTCATCAAAGCTTCCAGACTAAGTTAGACTAGGAAGAAAGGTCTGGTGGTCTACTTTTGAAAACAGTCAATGAAAGCCCTAGGGTCCATAATAGAATATTATCTGATGTAATGCCAAAAGATGTGTCCCTTGTTTAAAAGCATTGCATATTGGTTGCCACATGCTAACTTAGTGTTATTGATATGTTTCCTTTTATTGTAGGCAAAGTTCTACACTTTAATGGGCAAAACTTTGGACTGTGCAAAGTACAATCAACCTTGAAAAAGTGTGGTTATGCATCGGGCTGATAACCACAAAGTCAGCTATTTGAAACCATCAGCTGGCTCCTTGGGAGAAAGATAGAATCTTCTACTCCCATAAAGTGTTACAGTTTCAGAAACTCACAAGGGCAGTTTTATCTTGTCCAATAGGGTCCCTGTGAGTCTTCATCGCCCAATGTCACGGCTTTTGGTTTGGGTTTAGCACAAAATTTACATGTAGTACAACAGTTTTGAAGACTCCTCTACCTAGGTAAATGCCTGAAAACATAAAACCAGTGTCTCCAGTTGAGGGGGGAACTATCTTTTTTCTATTCTAAGTGAAGTAATAAACTCAGTGCGGGTCCATGAAGATAAGCCTTTCAACCAAAGTTGGAGACAAACAAGCTAAGGTCAGTTTAATCCAATCAATGGCTTGGATTAAACTACCCTTCCTAGTTGTCATTCTAAAACATAAACAATAAGGGGGATTAGTATTGTTAGCCACAGGAAATGGGGCCCCCAATTCAAAGGGCCTTAATCTAGCCCCTCAAATCAGGGCTAGGATTAAGTACTTCTTTTAAAGACTTGGAAAACAAGCAAGCAAACTGAACACACTGCCACAAGTGAGTTCCAACTTAAAGAAATCCTAAATTCTGAATCAACACCGAAAATTCCAAACAAAAAGTCTCTGTGTCTCTGTCTCTGTCTCTCTGTCTCTCTCTCTCTCTCTCTCTCTCTC